GTATAAGACGCACCAACATTTCCACACTTTAAGGGGGGAAAGGTGCGTCTTATACTCTGAAAAATATGGTAAATTATATCCTCTCCTCAGTGTGACTGTGGGGTTCCACATTAAATTGTAGATCACATTGTGACCGGCTGTAAGATGAGAGGTGGCGCAGTAGTTAGAGTGCAGCACTGCAGGCTACTTCAGCTGACTGCAGTTCGGCTGTTCAAATCTCACTGGCTCAAGGTTGACTCAGCCTTCCATCCTTCCGAAGTGGGTAAAATGAGGACCCGGATTGTTGGGGGCAATATGCTGACTCTATAAACCGCTTAGGGAGGGCTGAAAGCCCTATGAAGCGGTATATAAGTCTAACTGCTATTGCTATCAACCATATTTTTAGTTTTCCAATTATTTCAGGTTTTTTGAAAGCTGCAGCACATTGCTGGCTCATACTCAAGTGGTGTTCTACTAGGACACTCTCTCACAGTTAGTACTGTTAAGTCTGGTATTTTTTTCCTGCCTAAGTCCAGGATCTTACTTAATTACATTCGCCATGTTTAATACCAGAACTGATCAAAGTCCAAAGGATGATGAAGCAAAGTGAATGTGTTTAACATATATGGGCAGGATCAGGATTTTTTTTCCTCTGACTGTTTTTTTTTAAACAGTATGTTAAGCTATTTCAAGGATGCTTTGCAGTTTTCATGTATCTCTTGCTTCAAAAGGATAGAAACAGTGCCTCTGGCAGTTGTGCTTGGACATTTGACCAGTGGCCTCAAGTTATCTGCCTTTGGCAGTGATCCTTATATATCCTACTTCCCTGCTTTTGTTGTATTACAACCAAATGTAGATAAACTTTCACATTTAAACCAATATTGTGGTAATGGATTGCTTTCAGTCTATTCCTAACTTTTTACCCTGAAAACATGCTAAATTCCAGTAGGACTTTTCTTCCACCTTGTTATATGAAGGATTTTTTAAGCCTTAGAAGATTAAATAATATATTAGCTTTTGTTGATTAATTACAACATTTTATTTGCTCAATTAATTATAATACTTATAAGAATAAGAATATTATTTTCATTTTTGCAGCAGCAGACTTTAGAAGTTGCACTGGATCGTGCGGAGGTAAATAATAGATTATCTAAATTATATAGGCTTTTCTGATTATAGCACTAGCAGTAGAAAAGACCGTTGTTCTACTCATGATAGTTTCATTTAGAAGTATATGAAAAACATATAATTCCTAAACAATTAAACTGCTTTATTATAAACATTTGTAATAACATCTACAGGTAGACCTCAACCTATGACTCCAAAATTTATGTTGTTAAGTGAGACATTTGTTAACTGAGTTTTGCCCCATTTTATTACCTTTCTTGGCACAGTTGTTAAGTGAACATTGCAGTTAAGTTAGTAAGACAATTGTTAAGTGAATCTGGCTTCCCCATTGGTTGCAAAAGGGGATCACATGACTTGAACATAGCAACGGTCATAAGTACGAACCAGTTCCAACCATCTGAATTTTCAGCACATGATCATGGGGGGTGGGGGGGTGCTACTAAGGCCGTAAGTGTGAAAAATGGTCATGTCACTTTTTTCAGTGCCATTGTAACTTTGAACAGTTCATTAAATGAACTGTTGTAAGTCGAGGATTATCTGTATTCCTGTTTGATAATGCCCACTATACTCTAGAAAGATTTAAGAGGTGTAATTTTGTTACTGATTACTATAGCTTGAATTATTTTAGATTTCTCTGATTTTTTATGGAGTTTTTATGGATAAATAATATATTGCAAAACTCAAGAAATGAAACATTACATGGTCTATGGGAAGTGTAGTTGAATTATAGTTGAAATGAGGATAACATTAGGCAAAATTCTAAGTTTATACAGGTAGTCCTTGACTTACAGCCATTTATTGACTTTTCAAAGTTACAACAACACTGGAAACAAGTGACTTATGACTAGTTTTTACATGTACAATCATTGCAACATCCTCATGATCACATGATCAAAATTTGTTTGCTTGACAACTTGCATGTATTTATGACAGTTGCACTATCCTGGGATCATGTGATCACAATTTGTAACCTTCCAAGCAGGTTTCTAATAAGCAAAGTTAATGGGAGAGTCAGATTCGCTTAATGCTGTGTTATTCATTTAATAACTGCATGATGCTCCTAATAACTTCAGTAGTTGCTTAACTAAAATAAAAAAGGTAATAAGATGAGGCACAACTTATATAACAACTGCCTCATTTAGCAACAAACATTCTGGGCTCAATTGTGCTCATAAGTCAAGAACTACCTGTATTCTATTCCACTTTCCTCCTCCAGTTTATTTGACATATCAATAATAAGTGAATTGTATTCCGCAATTATATAAATACTTGAAATTATGTGTGCATTTGTGCATTGCTAATATATTTTTAACGTATTAACATTCATACACTTTTTTTCAGTATATCATTGAAAGTGCTCGCCAGCGCCCTCCAAAACGAAAGTATTTATCTAGTGGGAGGTAAGAAATATTTAGTGCATTTTTCTTACTTTAACGGATGAAAATGTTTACTCAAGAGCTTTTTTTTTTCTAATTCCAGAAAATCAGTATTTCAAAAGTTATATGAATTGTATCTAGAAGAATGTGACAAGGAGCCTGAAATAAAGGTAAGTGAAATCACATTGTCAGATGTCTGTTTTATGTTTTTCATAATGGACCAGGAAAGGCCAGTTGCACATAACTATTCTGTTCATAGATTGTAGTAGCATTAAAAACATTCAGGGAGATGTCAGCATGGTTGGTTTGTCTCATGAAGAATTTCTACCCTTGAATGTCCATTCAGTTTGTGGAGGAGAAAGAGCAACCACTTTCTGAATATAAAATATGGGAGTATCTAAATGTGGAGAAAATGTATCATACTCTTCTCAGACATCTATTACAGAGGATTAGAACTTCCTATTATTCTACCAAAGTGCCAGTGATCATGTCATGTTCACTTGGTGATTATCAGTTTTTCTGTACAGGGAACCTTAAACAAATTTTCTCCCTTAGTGTTTCAGATTGCTCTGAGCTGCACAGGGGCTCTCAACAGTAACATATACGGGAAACAGACATGATGCTTCTTTGGCTGCTGGCTAGCATTGTAATTCTCAGGACAAATTATATTAATCACAGGAATAGCCATGTCTTATTTGATTACATTTTCTGACTAGTTGCAGCTGAAAATAACAAGTATCTTAAGTTTGAACAATATAGTTAACTATATTGTAAATGTAAAATTACATGAAAATAAACATGGGTGTTTTATTTTGGAAGAAACATTATTTTGGAAGAAACACTAGCAACTGTTTTCACAATAAAGCTGCCTTTACTGTGTCTTGTGAACTTGGCCAGTGAGCATAAGTTTTCCCAATCACATAAATTGTAACCCCGATACAAATAGTCCTTGATCAATCATTAATTGGACTACTTGTATTGGCATGAAAGGTAGAAAATAATAAATAGCTTTTATTTGGAGCAGGGTTTGTGTTGGTCTTGTCATTGACTTGGAACATTTTAAATATAAATACATAGATTGTGCTAATCTAGTTTTATATCCCTGTTTTTCATGAATTGTTGCCCACATTTTAAAGCAGAAGCTGAGACGAAATGTGAACTTGTTGGAGAAGCTAGTCATGCAAGAGACGTTGTCATGCCTAGTAGTGAATCTTTATCCAGGAAATGAAGGATATTCCTTGATGCTGAGAGGAAAGAATGGCTCAGGTAAAACAAGCATTGTTGGCTTTTAAATCTTTCTTTGATCTAAATAGTGTCTCTTTAAAATACACACTGTGTACAATTATTAGGCAAATTGTATTTTGGAGGATTAATTTTATTATTGAACAACTACAGTGCAATAAACCTCAAACCTGAATATTTAGGAAAGCAAAAGTGAAGTTTTGGCTTTCTTAGGAGAATATCTATGTGTGCACAATTAGTGTGCAGGACACACATCTTGCTTCTCCCCCCCAACCTGCCACCCCTCGCTAAAGGGACGTCAGGGAAGGGAAGCAGGAAGGCAGCCATTACCATTGGGGGGGAGGTGTTCTTTTTGTGCAGAAGGGAATGGGGTGCAAGGCACATTGCTGGCCTGCCACCTCCCCCCCCCCNATATATATATATATATATAAAGATCCTGGTTGTCACCTTTAAAGAGCTATGTATTATGGGGTAAGGTTATCTTGGAGGAGGACATAAGAGGATACACACATAATAGTATGTTAGATTTAGTTTTTTACATAGCCCAGTAATCTTATCCATTACCAAATGAAACATATCATCCAAACCAGTGGTGGGTTGCTGATCACAGTCTGTTTGTGCAAACGCCTGCAATCCACCGCCCCTGTGACAACCAGCTGCTTGTTGGGGATCACGCAGGCACTGCATGCTGTGCACGTGTGGCAATGTGCCTTTTTGGCATAAATACAGCTATAGACCGCCGATGTGCCCAAAGAGCCACTGTACTGGTACACTCTCAGCTCCTCCAGGCCACTATTGGTATGGCCGTACCAGTCCGAACCAGCGGCAACCCACCACTGATCCAAACAAAAGAATTTATGAAGACTCTTGTATTCTCAAGACTCCCAAAGGTTGCTGTTCTCTGTACAACTGTATAACAAGCTAAGCACATCATAAATATGTTGTTTAATAGTTATAAGTGTTTTTTTCTATTTCATAGGAAATAAAAGATGATTATGTGTTTGAATGTGAAAGTGGCAATCATTTTCAGAAGACAAAATTGACAATTTTTCAGTCCCTTGGAAATCCATTGTACTATGGTAAAATACAGACTCTTAAAAATGATGAGGATAACGAAAGTCCATCACAGTGAGTACATCTTTCAGTTTTAGAAAAAAGCATTGATGTTAATTTTATACTGCAGGGATGGGTATCTTTTTCACCTTGTGGATCACAACAGATGAGATGTTGTGTACAGGCATATCTATATGCCTGAAACTGACCAGACTTTAATCAATTTTAAAATTGTATGTGCTCTTTGGATAGTTAATCTTATTATATCAGGTTTGAAGTCAATTATTGTTCAATACTTTTTCACAAGTGAAGTTACCGAAGCATTTGGTTTTTATGTCTCAAATTGAGAACTTTGCAGCTGCTTCTGATATATTTTATTCTGTTCCTTTCCTCCCATCAAAATAGTTTTGAATTTTACTTTGTCTTCTGTGATATTGGCTACTCCATCCAATAAGTTCTCAACACATTTTATGAGCATTTCCTCCACTTCTTCGCCCAAAAATGAGCGTAAAGGATCCAGATTTAATTTGAATGTATTTCATTTGATATCTCTTTCCACTCTGATGGGCCATTGATGAAGCCTGACAAATCTTACTCAGAATACACCCAGTTGGCCACCCTTATCTAGTTTGCAAATTAGCACTGCTAAATGCTTTGCTGAAATCAACATCTATTACGTCAACAGCATCACCATAATTTATAAAGGAAGTTATTCTTTTTAAATGATGTAATATTACCTCATTAATTCTTGATATATCCAGGCTGATTTCTAGTAATCATGGCATTGTTTTTAACAGGCTTACAGAACAATGTCCTTATGGTTTCCCTCTAGCATCTTGCCATAATATATCTACGTCAGACTGACTGTAGTTTGCCCCCTCTTTTAATGTTTGCATTCTTCCAGTGATTTCATATTTTACCCCTTCTTCAGGATTTCTTAGAAATAATGGCAGAACATTAATTCTTCTAGAATCTGAAGATTTAAATTCAGTCAATATAAATTCCCAACCACGTTTCTATCAGTCTCAAGTTTCCGCTGTGCCTCTTCATCCTGCCATTATTCACATACCCTTGAAGGTGCTTTTTGTTGGGTGGAACCAACAAATCAAAATAGTAGTTGAGTAAGCTCTGTCTTTTCTTCACTATTTGTTAGCATTTTGCTGTCTTCATTGAGCAGGGGATAGTACTAATTCTTTTAATTTGAATATACATACCTACAAAAAATCTTTTTTTGATATTTACTGTTCATACCTTAACTCGTTCTTAATTTTCACTTTCCTGACAGCATGTGGGTTCTGGGTTACCTGTCCTGACTCTTACTTTGTGATCAGGCTTCTTTTCATTTTCAGTTTGTGTGCCTGGTGTGTTTTCAAATCTTCAGTAATGTTTTAGCTGCAATTTCATGTAGGCTGATAGCAATAAAATAGATTTAATTGTTTTAATGTTGTCAGATCAGACTTTTATCTAACCATAATGGCTATATGGTTAGATAAAGACATCAAGTTAGAAGTTGTGCTTAGATATGGCCTATAGGCTAATCAATAAAGCTATAACCTAAGTTAGAAAGCAGGAGACTGTGTTCAAGTCCCACCTTAGCCATGAAAGCCAGCTGGGTGACTTGGGCCTGTCACTGTCTCAGCACAGAAACACCTCTAAGGGTTGTTGTTGGGAAAATAGGAAGGTGGGTTCAATATGTTTGCCACCTTGAGTTATTTCTAAAATAATAAAGGCAGGATAGAAATAAATAAATAAAATATATAGGTTATCCTCAATTTATGACCATTCTGCAACCATTCAAAATGAAACAAGGTATTTATGATTCATGCCCAAAGTTACAGCCATTGGAGCCTCCCTATGATTGCATGATCAAAATTTAAGGGCTTGGCCCACATTTTTGACCATAAGGAGGGGCTGCAATGCACCACCCACTTGTGTATTTGCCCTGCCTTGTTGAGCAGCAAGTAAAGCCAAAGCTTTAGCCACAAAAACTTTGCAAAAATGGCAGGAAATGTTGAGTCCTAAAAGGAGTTAAACAAACCTCCAAGGAACAAAAGAGAGAAGCTTGCTTACTAGCGGAAAGCAGAACAAAGCAAAATGAAGCAAGAAAAAACAACTCAGAAGCAGAGGAAGAGCCCAACTAGATGAGGGTCGGAGCGCTGCATTCCAGTGCCACAAAGGCTTCCAAACAAGCCTATTTACTTGGCTGTAGTGAAATCCTGATGTTTGAAACACCAGGGAGGAAGCTTAGTGATCCATCAATTGGTGGCATTTTGTAAAATATGAAGAAGCCCTGTTTATGGACTAGGCCTCTGCTCCAATCAGCTGACAGTTGAGACTGCAGATCTTTCCTAGCTCTTGCTAGTCTTTGGGGAAACCAGCCCGCTGCATGCAAAGATGGCAGCTCCACAACCAGTTTCCGCATATCATCTCCTTGCTTTTCTTCCTCAAACTCACTTTTTTTCCCAATAAAGAAAATAGAAAAAAAGCTGAGGGGGGCAGGCTTGTGGATTTTTCTCCCCCTCCCAATTAGATCTTGAAACTAAACTCTCCACCTCTGTCCTCTAATCTTGATCCCCTTTAACCACTTAATTTACTAAATTTACTGTGTGCCTGGAAAGGAAGTGACAAAATCTGCAAGTTACTTACTGTGATAAGTGATTGGCAGGCTAAAGAATAGAGGGAAAGGTTTTAATTTTTTTAAAGGAAGTGGGGGGGTTATAAAGGAACCAAAGAAACCCTTCTGGGGGTTGTTTGTGGAGAGGTGAAGAAAAATACTTTGCAAAGCTACCAAGAACTCAACACATGAAGCAAACAGTCTCAGCAGAAGCTGAGTCCTAAAGCGAGTCAGACAATGGCAAAAAGCTTTCCAAGGAACATTTCCAAGCCTTTTGCTGCTTGCCTGACTCCCTTTACAAACCAGCTTATTCTGTGACTGTTTGCTGCATGTACTGAGTCATCCTTAACTTTGGAAACAAACTTCCACGCAAACAACCATCCGAAGGATTTTCTTTGCTTCCTTTTCCTGTTTTTGGCTTTGCAAAGCTTTTTTGCTGCTTGATTGACTCTTTTTTGGACTCAGCTGGGTGAGTCCCAAGGCACCCCATGCTCCGCTTTAACAACTCCTGGTGTTTACCAACCCCATCAGGGAGAGCAGGGAGTAGGCATCATTAAAGCCATTGCACTAAACAGCCTTCATCACTTATGACAGTAATGGGAGGTTCCATTATGGTTGTAAGTCAAAGACTACCTATACCTATTTCTGAAAGTATCCACTGTATACATCTCTGAAAATTGCAGCTATATTTTTATAAGACACTGGTAAAGTCTTTTTTAGCCCTCCTGTATTTCCACCCTTTGGCAGAACAGGAGCTTTCCACACATCATTGCTATGTATGTTCAGTTGAAAAGACAGATCTTAATAAATAAAGTCAGGATGGATAGCGTATAGCAGAAACAAGTTCATGGTGAAGGGAATAGTAGAGGTATCAATGGAAATATTTGGAAAATATTTGTTTGGCAAAAATAATTTAAGGAATGGGGTGACTATTGCCCAGGTTTTGGGGCATAAAAGTGTAAAAAATGTTGAATCAATTTAGTCCAGCATCCTTTCCATGCTTTGTAATAGTTCATATATTTAGTTTGAGAGAAAGAGAAAGAATTAGCCAGTGAACTATCAGAGATTAAATACTGCTTGAAGTTGGGTTTTCGTGTTAAGCAAACTTCATGTATGTTCAGCTCAGTTGATGTGACATATATAATCTATATTGTATATTTATTTAATTTTAATTCGTGTATTATATTGTTTACAGTTTTCTTATTGGCTCAAAGTCGGAAGCAGAAAGGTAAGTACCTGATTACTATTTGCACGATTCTACGGGTAGCTGGGTTTGCTCTTGCAAAAACTCCTCAGATTGGCTTTATGTTTTCTTTGTTCTTTTTCTTGGAAATGAAGTTTGTCTTAAAACCTATGATCTTTGCCTAGAATATACCTTTTTCACCCATCAAATGCATATATTGTCAGAATAGGATAGTGTTAACACCAAGTATTGGGGTGTAAGGTTAGGATGTTGTCCACTTGTGTGGCATGGAATGTTTTGCAGAAAATTTAAGTAAAGAACTGAAGTGTAGTTCTAAAAGATAGGTATAATCCTTTGTATTTATTGTTTAAATTGCACATTCTGTATTTCAAAGTGTCTAATTTCTTCCTTAATTACTTTCTTTTGTTATCCATGCTTCTCTTGTCATTATATACTGTAATTACAACAGAAACTCAGGAACTGTTCTTAGAATCCACTCAAACATTAAACTCAGAATAAAGAAAAGTGCTGAATTAGAATTTTTTTCTAAAATATGATTGTGTAGAAGAGTAGAATATCTTCCATAGGGAATATTTTTAGTAAGCTTAAATACACTGTTTTCATTCAGTACCTTATGTATATAAATTAATAGCCAGCAGAAATATAAAAATAAGCAGATCTCTGCTATTGTTCATTATCTAGATAGAAATTCTGCAATTTCATGAAAGACATATTTATCTCATGTTACAGAGTAGTCAACCAATACCAGGAGCTGGTTCAAAATGAAGCTAAATGTCCTGTGAAGATTTTTCATAACTCAAGTGGATCAATCCATGCCAGTCAACTTTCTCCTGGGAAGGAACTAGAAGTAAGTCATTTTTAACTATTAGAGGATAACTTTGTACTCTCAAAAATATCACAGTTTCATTTAAGCCCTGTCTAAAAAACATGCAAATTCATTTTTTATTAGTGACTTAATTACATGACTTTCGCCTATTCATTCTTTATAGATGAATTGCATTATTATCCTCTGGTGCTAGAATGCCGCCTGGGGGCTGCCTGACATCTATATCTCTTCAGTTGATCTATTAGATGATTCAGCGGCGTGCACTCCTCCACTGCTGTTTGTAGCGTTAACGTCGGTTTTGCCAGTAATCGTCTCTGTAACCGAACATCCTGAACCCCACAGACCAATCTGCCTCAAATGGCTTCGTCTAAGTTGCTAAATCCGGANAGGACAAGAAGCAAAGGAAGGAAACTAATCAAGGAGAGAAATAACCTAGAACCAAGGAGAAATTTCCTGACAGTTAGAACAATTAATCAGTAGAACAACTTGCCTCTAGATGTTGTGAATACTCCAACACTGGAGGTTTTAAAGAAGAGATTGGACAACCATTTGTCTGAAATGTATACTGTAGGGTTTTCTGCCTGAGCAAAAGGTTGGACTAGAAGACCTCCAAGGTTGTTTCCAATTTTTTCATTCTGTTAAAAAAAGAGTAAGTTGACACCTGAATGGCAGTATTTTGAAATATTTGGCTGTGACCAACTGTCAGTTTGCATATTAGGGTTCTTGGCTAGTTAATTGTTTGTTGATAATTCTATATTGCCTAGAGCTATGAAGGTTAGTAGAAGGCACACGTTATTTAAAAAAAATAATACATTTATGGACAAATCAAAGATACAACTTTTTAATTTTAGTTCATTATATATATTAGCATAGAAACACTTATAAATATAACAAGAATCAATGTGCTGAAATTATTAACTTACCTTATATATAAGATTAAACTCCATCAAGTAGCCACTCCTTACAAGTATTCAACTTGATAATCCAGCGGCATAGTGAGGATGGGTTTGTTGAACAAGATACTGGTAGAATTAGAATGAGAAAGAGCTAGATCAGGGGTGTCAAACTCACATTGTCATGGTAGTGTCACGTGATATATGGGGACTTTTCCCCTTTTCACTAAACCAGACGTGGATGTGGCCAGCGTGTGACGCAGCTGACCCGTGGGTCGGGAGTTTGACAGCCTGATCTAGATTAATTTAACATTTCAACTTCAGCAGAAGAAACAACTGTCTTTTCTGTTGAGATGTAAGGATTGCACTACCCCAGACAGAGCCCATGTATAATCTGGGGGTCCTCCAGGACTCATGGCTGTTGCTCAAAGAGCAGTTGGCAACTATGACTAGGAGATCCTTTGCTGAACATCATGTTATGCACCAGTTATGCCTTTTCCTAGATAGGGAGACTCTCTGTTGGTTACTTGTGGCCCAGCAGGAGCTGTTGGAACTGCCACCAGACTCCGACAGCGAGGGGCCCTATGAGTCAGCTCTGGAGGATGTGGAGGACCCTGGACAGGGTTCCGACTCCAAGCAGGGCACAGAGAGNCTATGGTAAAAAGCATGTCTTCTGGCAATGCAAGATGGTCGGGGGGCGTAATGTTCCTACAGTTTACACAATAATATGTCCCAAGGATTAGGGTTAGGGTTAGGGTTCTAACTGTCTGAAGGAGTTGGGGCGCGATGAGGGCCCTTGCCATCTCAAACACTTATTTTCCACAAATGCTCAAGAAAAGCACTCGTTTGAGATTATCTGTATAGTCATTAGCTTCCAATATACAGTTAAAAAGCATTAAGTAAGAATCCCACGTCTGTGTTTCAGGATCAAATGGTGCAAACTGTAGTGGGTTAGCCATTATCTTTCCAAAACAACATAGTCGCCACTGCTTTTTAATCTCTGAGACCTCTCAATTAACAGTTCTCAGTGTTGGCTCCAAGCTCAGGAATCCCACCTTTGTCGCCAATGCAATGCTGTGCGTGGAGGAGCACATTCCAGCAATGCTATTTATTCAAGATAAGAGCAGACTACAAACTAACCTCAGTTTCCGGCCGACAGCTCCTTTTAAAAGAAGCTCTCAGCCAATTAACCAATAACTTTAAAATACATCTCACACTTGACGGCAGTAGGAAAAGTCTCTGCTCATGTCTGCGTGGACATAACACTAAGCACTATTGTTATTACTATGAAAGGCCGAATCAATCTTGAGCCAATCAGGATCAAACTCCTGGCTATGGGCAGAGTTAACCTGCAATGCTGCATTCTAACAACTGTGCCCCCACGGCTCCTAAATTATAAACTAAGAATTTGCTTTCATGAAATACAATAAGCTAATATTATTGTTTATTTTTTTCTCCTTCAAGTGGGGAGAAACAAAATGAAAGTATGGTTATCCACATCATTCTGAAGGTCATTCACAATAGGCCACTCCCACAACACTGACAGGGTATGCCACTTGAATATGAATTGAGAATAAATCCCACTATTTACTATCAGTGATGATGTTACCTAGTTTGGATAATGAAATGTCTGCAAGAAAACAACCAAGCTTAGAAAGGACCCCACCAAGGACCCCACATTTCAATCCTGAGTTACAAATATTCTCTTTCATTGGTTATTCACAAAAAGCCAGAATTTTCCAGAATTCCTAATTATTGTGACGTGCAAATATTGAATTGTCTAGAAAAGATATCAAGAAATAGTTTGTCTGATGGTCATCTGAATAGAATATAGGGAATCTTCAACTTGTGACTATTCAGCAACCATCCAAAATTTTGATGGCACTGAAATTACTATCTGTATCTGAATTTAATGCCACAGCACATTCCCATGGCCACATGAACAAAATTTGGCTTACCCTTACGAGTGACACAGGGATGCTACAGCATCTCCCGCCTTTCTTTTGCCCCCATCCTACCCCACTAGTAGGCTTGGGCCTACCCCTACCTGGGTGAGGCCCTGCAGGCCTTGGGCATGCCCCCACCCTACTGTAGGAAAGCCATGGGGTGGATCAGCCAGTTCTTCCCCAAAGTGATTTGTGCAATATGTAAGTAGACTGAGCCATGATGGAGAGAGGATGGTGGGGGACCCAGCAGGGTAGAAAGCAGGTCCAAGGCCTGTGAGAATCAAGTAGGGTGGGAGACAGGTCCAAAGCCTGAAGGGACCCATTAGGGCAGAAGGCAGACCCAAAGTTTGTGTGGAGGTAGGAACATGGGTGTGGAACCCATTGGGATGGTGGAAAGAGTACAGGTTGCCTCAGGAGGTTCTGGGATGCTGGGAACTGCAGTGTGGGCCTATGCCTGTGCCAGGTCTCCTGGGGCTTCCCCCATCCTCTGCGGCACCCCATTGTCTGCTTAATAACATTGTGGGGAGAACAGGGATTGTGGCTGTTAAGTGAAGCAGTCATGTGGGTGCCTTCTTTAACAACCGCCATGACTTATGATTCTAATGGGCAAGCCATTACGATTTTAGATTATTGAGGTGAGGGCTTGAGGAGAATCATATGTAAAGTTAAGGAGGTTGTTCACTTTCACTTTAATCTTCTTTCCTAATATTTTATACTATATGTACTTTAACAAATAAAGAAAGCATTTGCAAATATGATCATCTTCCTTAATAGAAATAAAGCCTGAAAAGTATTCATCTAGAAGAGAAAATTAATATGTGATGCAGAGGTGGCATTCAGCCAGTTCTGACAGGTTCTGGAGAACCGGTAGCAGAAATTTTGAGAGTGGGGAGGGAATGGGGATTTTGCAGTATCCTTCCCCTGCCACGCCCACAAAGCCACACCCACAGAACCGGTAGTAAAAAAAATTGAATCCCACTACTGATGTGATGGGAAAATAATAAAGATATCCCAGAATTCACAAGCAACAACACTGGTTGGGGAATTCTGTGAGTAGAAGTCCACACATCTTAATATAGCCCATGTTCTAAGGGTTAAAACAATTGGGGTAGTTTTAAAGATGAAAAGACGAGCTGGGTGGATTATTTTTCTTTTTTCTTTTAACGACTTCGGAAAACAAGTTCATATTCAATTTTTGATAAAAATATAAATATGACTATATATTAACTCATTTAATATCATCAGATCCATTATTAAATGATTCAGAATTGAATTAATCGCATTGAATTAAGCTTTTTAAAAATATTCTGGGAGATCACTTAGTATAGATCTGAACTCTAGACTCAGGGCTCAAAGTTTAAATGATGATAAAATGTGAGATGAAAGTGTTTTGTCGTATGGAGACAGGTTTCTTGGTTTGACTGGTTTGATTAAAAATAATTCCCAAAAAGTGAGGTCTTTTTAGGAATATAATAAAGAGCTCAGGAAAACTCTACTAATAATGTTTATTCCCATTCCTGAGAAAATACAAATACACTAATTTTGACTTGCATTATCAGTTTCCATATTTGTTTGTTAGAATTACCTCTGTAAATTTATTCTGACTCCAAGGGTATATGCTTGATTTTAGCAGACTGAGGGTGTGGCAGGTTATATACAGTCTTCAGTGTTGGGAAAAGGTGTGAAACACAGACCACCTCCCATCAAGCTACCTTCAAGTTCAGCAAGCAGTTCTTCAGGTAAATATCGTTTCAAAGCTTCCATTTGTGTTGAGAAGTTATGTGTGGAATAAGTTTTGCTTTACTTGTTTAGATTTTTTAGTGAATCTTTTAGGGAATGTGAACATATATTTATGATCTTATTGATAAGAAAAGTATGGGCAATTGCAAGGAAGTTACTCAGAACACACTCCCCTTGCATAATAATAATATCCTGTCACTCACCTGATGGATGAGCAGACTGGAAACTAGGAAAACAGGACTTCTGTGGCAGACAATTTCTCACAGTAGTAACATTGCTTGGAGAGGGGGGGGGGGGAGATTCAGTTTCCTTCCAGTAGGAATAGTGAAACTGCAATCTAAAGAACTTACTTATGTTCCAAACAAGTGCAAAAAAGTGAGGCGGTCTGCATCCTTTTTATAAGCAAATATTGGACTGTATAACTAATATGTACTGTAGAAAAACTGGGGAAACAACTCTAGAAAATGAAATACTCTTTCTGATGTTGGTTCACAGAACAAATCCATCTATTAATTATGCTTTTCAGGTAATATTTTTAGTCCACAGCAGTCAAGCAGTCATCTCAAATCCCCAACTCCTCCTCCTCCTCCTCCTCCTTCTGCTCTTCCTCCTCCTAAGCCTCCCTGTGTATCTCGGAAGCAGTCTCTGGATCTGAACCAATTGAGCATGCTTTCTTCGACTTCTGTGTCTCCTGCAAGTGCTTCACAAAGTGAGTCCCGTCCTAAATTCTCCATTAAATCTTCATAGGCATCTTAGGATAAACTTCCTAACCAGCTGATCTGGAGAAACTAAATATCACCTGTCCTAAATTGTGTATTAATTGTGCAGCACAAAGCAGGCCTCTTGTTCACTGTATGTACTTCGTTTGCTGTAACTGTATTTGGTTCTTCTGTATAATTATATATGTATGCACCCTCTGTGTATACGTTTTGACTCATTTTATGCAACTAACTTAGGTCTGACTTTCATATAGCCTGATAATTAATGTAATCATAGAAGTTTCCAAAATACATATCTTTTTCCACTAATATGTCAACAGTAGCTCATTAAGACCAATTTTAATTTGCATATTTTAAGAAAGTAAAACTATTTGAATGTTATCAATTATGGTGTAATTGTATCTCTATATGTGTATATAACATGATCAAGTCCCAATATGGTAATAAAATAAAGTTTATAGTTGATTTTTTAAAAACACTCCTATACTGTTTTACAAATCATTGCTGATATCAAAATCATTACAAATCAAAAATATAAGAATAGCTTCAGGATATTAGTGCAATCTCTTAAATATCTTCAGAACTGTTAGCTGGTTTGGATTTTTCAGCAGCATCAATTTGATAAATCTCACAATAAAAATAACAACTGTGGGTTTTTAACCACCCTTTGAAATATATGGGAGGTGGGGAGGGATCCCTTAGAACAGGGCTGTCAAACTCGTGGTCCGCGGGCTGGATATGTCACGTGCTGGCCACGTCCACGCCCAGTTTAGCAAAGGGGGGGAAGTCACGATATGTCACGTGATGCCACAAGTTTGACACTCCTGCCTTAGAGTATCTTTTAAACATTTGTCTATTCAATTCTTTGTCTGCCACATAATGTAGTCCTGTGATTTGCATGTTGCATAATCTAAAATTGTCAGAAGGGGGCTTAACAGATGCCATTTTTATGCCTTCCAGTTTTGCACAAAGAAACATAAAAGGAGCTTTGATAAGTATTCCCAACTATCTGATTCAACTAATTTTCATTCCACTCCTTATACTGTATGTTGCTGCTAAATCCCAGGGACTAGATTGGAAGTCAAAATAGTTTCCTGGAAGAAGGCAATGTCAAGAAAATTACATTGGCATGTCCACATATTCATGAGGAACCAAACTCAACTTGTAGGAGAGTTCTTTTTTATAGATGTGTAAGTGTTGTAGTATACTTGGTCCCCAGCTTTTAGACATTCACATTTTTTTTCTTTCTGCAAAACATGAATGCTTAAAAAAATAGCTTTAGAACTTTTGGATTGTTTTAATTCCATTGATTCATGCCAATTTTACATTTTAAATGAAATCATTGATTGTTGCTTTCTTTCTGTCTGCAAGTTAAGGAAATCAGTGATGGATAATTATTTGTATTTTCTTTTTCACTATCCATATTTTTATTCAAGCTGCTTTTCTAATGTTACATTATTATGCAGATGTTAGAGATTTACATGTTACTATGTTAGATGACTCATTTATTGTTAATAGCATTTTAATACTTTAAATATTGAAATTGACATGAGATATTTAATAGCAGAGGAGTGATGTAAATGTGTCAACAATGTTAGAATGATTTAATGGAATAAATAGAACTGGAGTTGCAGATTAAGCATAGTGACATTTTTGTCCATTGGCTTCATTCATCAAAAACGCAATTATTAACAGAATTGGCTGGGCTGGTGGTGGTGTTTTAAGGTGGAGTAAAATATCAAGCTAAGTAAGAGTCCACTAACCTTAGTTTTAAAAAAGGACTGGCCTTTTATAACGAACGAGTGCTTTTTATTTTTCTCAATGAGCAGGGTCTGGAACTCCTAAGCCAACTACTCCTACTCCAACCAACACCCTTTCATCGACCCCACACCCTGCCGATGCTCAGAGCTCATCTCTGATTACCCTTACTCCCCAAGATTCAGGCTTCACCCCTCAGCCCACTTTGCTTACCCCGTTTGCTCAACAGCAAATGTCTCTGGGCCAGGCATTGCCTGTAATGACCATTCCTCTTTCCACCATGGTAACTTCCGTTACTACAGGAACATCTTCCAACCAGGTCATGACAAACACTGCAGGACTTAACTTCATCAATGTAGTGGGCTCTGTGTGGTAAGTTGGTTATTTTATAGTTTAGAGTTACTTTCCACCATGTTCCATGTTGCTGTGAGCCAACTGATGAGTGATGAACTTGAGATGGGTTAACCAATTAATGAAATGTAACATATTTTAGTGCATTTATTTCATTACATATTCTTAAACATTAGTTGATCATAATTATGAGAACATACAAAAAGTTAACTTTTAGAATAAATTTTAGAAAACTGGTTGAGACTAGTATTTTTATTATTGTATTATTTCTGTGTATGGGCAATCTGTCCTCCATTCTTACCATCATTGGAGTTAGAATTAAGAATAAAGAGAGCATCTGGCATTCTATTCATTCCTTGAGTACTGTTCACATGTTATGTTGTTTAGAAATGGTCTAGATAGCTTTGGATGGAATACGAGGAAAGATTTTGTTGTAACTTGATTAGTAAAACTGCATTAGTATTTCATGCCATGTTAGTCTAATTCTTACCTATTCCTTTTGTACAGTGGAACACAAACATTAATGAGTGGTTCAAATCCCATGTTGGGGGGTAGTACTGGTGCACTCCCCCCTGCAGGTATAAACCTGAGTAATATTTTACCTTCAGGAAATCTGATGCCAAATGCACTCCCTGCTGCAATGCAGCATAACTCTCAGCCAGGTCAGTATGAAAATCAGACATGCTGAAATGGGATGATGATGATGAAGCCTATTGAAAGTGCAACTTGGAAAAAGAATCTAGAAGGTTACTAACTAGTAAATTGCATAGTGATGGTCATTTTGGACTTGATTTACAATTAACACCATCTTAATTATTGCCCTAGTGGTAATCCTTTAGAGTTTTAAGTTTTGTAAGCATATGCAACTGAATTTTCTAATCAGTGACACAGACCCAGACAAATTATAGGATTCATTCTATAGCATGGTATAGTTTCTGGTAATTCTACTTTCTTCTCAATCATCTGTTGATATTTATATGGTGCCACTGATCTTCCAAATAACCTGCTGTTAATCAAGTTTTTGATTTAAAATTAAAATTATTTATGTAAGCATTTTAACTTGCTACAATGGTTTCATAATTTTAGCATTTTATGGAATGTTTTATCTGCTATTATGCTTTCAGTTTGTGGTCTATTTTTAATCAGTTATTATATGAGCATTATATTTAGGATTTGTAAGCATTTCTTGTGAAGTAATATAAATATAATAAGCTAATTCTGTTCTGTTTCATGTATATGCCTTCTACCCTGACATGGCAGTAGAAAAAAACTACAGTACTCTGAAAGCTTGAATCATTGCTAGGATTTAAATATTAAGGTTTTTTAGTTCAGTTTACTGAAACAAGATACATTGTACAGTTTCAGTGCAAAGTAACTATACTTAAATTTTAAAGCTCATATAACTTTTTATGAGTTTTAAATACTAAAATATTCCAAATTTTAAAGCTGAGCTTTGAAGTTGGAATATTTTAGTATTTAAAACATCTTTCTCATTAGAGGAGGTATTTTGGAAAAAATAGTTACTTCTGTTGAAATAGCCAAAATAGCTTTTGTCAATATTAATGGTTAGCTATACTGTTCACTTCCACTTTAGATGTAATTAAAAGGAAGGAAAAAAACAAAACATTTTCTTATCTAAATTAATCTCAGCAGGTGTCCCTTTTGGTTTAAAAAATGCTCCAGGCCTTCGCCCATTGAATCTTCTACAGGTATGATAATATACTTGGGCCTGTTTTTCTGTATGATTTCTCAAGATATTGAGTTGGAAAATTACCAGTAGATGTAAATACAAACACCCTTATGTCCATTGACTAATTAGTAAAACATATCCTGTCAAAAATACAGAAGGATATATTTCTCTTGATATGAGGTTGGAAAAAATGTGGGGGAAAAAATTTCATCGCAAAACATTGAGACAAGGAAATTGTGAATCTGCAAAGCCAATTCTTTATTTCAAATCTGCAAAAATGTGGAGATTTTGCAACTGGGGTTAGGGGACCATCCCCCTGCCTAACTATCTCACTGCCCTTGTTATTTTAATTAATTAGTTCAAATTTATTGACTGCCCAATGCCAATGACTTCAATGTTGGGATTCTCATTGAATTATCCATGCTTTTCTTATATCCTTGCTTTCTGTATGGGCTTACCCTTGAAATATATCCAGAAGCAAGCTTAAATATATAGCTGCTGATTTGTATACAATGTTGGCAATGCTTTTAATATTTATAATGGCTTTGGAGTTTCATTATTAGATGGACTGTATAAATGAAAATTTTCTTACTTTCTGAGATACAACTTTGGACACAGAGAGAATGCTATTTCCTGTGTTGCTCTCACATATGCTTCCTTCAAAACCACACTCAGACTTAACTCTGCTTTCAAAAAATACTGAAATACATTCCTCTTTTGATGTGTATTTTCAGGTTGAGTTAAATAATTGCTTTTAACTGTTTTTATAGAATTGTATTTGTTACTTTTAGTGCCCTGTATGCAAAAAGATGGACCATAAACAAAGTACTGCTATTTCACAAAGAAAAGTTGATGAGCTAGTTCTATGGGACATCCAACAAACTAGATTAAAAGCTCTGCTCAGCACTTGTGCATTTGCACCTCTTACTCCTGCTTCCAGCTGTAACAGAGATTTCAGGCTTTGATCTAGTTGGAAGTAAACACATATGTTTTACCTAATGGAGAATAGAATTAGTTGATGTAGGCAATATGGATTCTGTGCACATGTACATCTATTTTTGCATAAAATGATACTTGCTGTGGAAAACTACTTTGGTTACTTTGATTTAGGCTTCCTTTTTGCTGTGATTTTACTTTGTGTAAAAAAAATTAGTCCCAATTTTTTTGAAATGGAAAGGGACTAAGGACACTGGGTGGTCACAGTTATGAATTCTAAATTCTATATATTTGTGTGCATCACAAGTAACACATGCAACCCTCCCAACACCTAATTTCTGTCTAAACTTTAACAGCTTGCAGGTGGCTCACTGATATTCAATCCTCTCCAGCAGCAGCAGCAGCAACAACTCTCCCAGTTTTCATCTCAGCTGCCTACAACTTCTAGTCCTCAGCTACAGGGAGATCAGGTAGGCATACCCATTAAGAATAAAATAATAAACAATAATCCATGCTGTCTCATGTTTGCATGTACCATGTTTCCCCTAAAATAAGACCCACCCCAAAAAGAAACCTATCGTGTTTTTGAATGGGTCAAAAGAAAATAAGACATGGTCTTATTTTCTAGGAAACACAATAGATATCAACATGACTCCTTTACCGTATTTTTGGAGTATAAGACGCACCGGAGTATAAGATGCACCAAGGTTTTGAAGAGGCAAATTAAAAAAGTTTTTGCACTCTGCAAATTTCCCCCAAACAGCCCATTTTTTGTGAAAACGGACCCGTTGTTGTTTTTAAAAGGTCATAAATACCCCTTAGGACACTTGTAGAGTGTTCCGTGCGGGCAAAAATAAGCAATTTTTTGCAAAAATGGGCCCATTTTTTGCCAAAAAGGCATTAGGAAGCTTATAGAGTGTTCCTGTGGGGGGGGGGGAATTGAGCAAAAAAAAGCCCATTTGTTGCTCATTTCTGCCCTCCCCAGCTCCCAGGAGCTCTCTGAAAGCCACCTACAAGCTATGTACGGCCATTTTGGTGAAGGACAGGGTTTCAGGAGGCAAAAAAATGATGTATGCAGTGTATAAGATGCATCCTGATTTTCAGCCTCTTTTTTTTTTTAGGGAAAAAGGTGCATCTTATACTCTGAAAAATATGGTAATTTAAATTTATGATATCACTGGGGAGTTAATCTCTACAATACAGTGGAGCTGTCTTCAAAGAAAAACTATTGTGTATGTGTGAAAGTTTTTATAATGGCTGGAATCCTGATAATGCAATTTCAATTCACATGGAATGTTGGTTGCCACAGGGAGCATTCCCATACTTGCAGTTATATAGTATCCTTAGACAGCCAGATGTTTTCTGACATACCAATATCACAACATTCCATAGAAGGGCTGTTTAACATTGTTCATATATTCAGTAGCATATGCAGTAGCATTTAATAACAGCATTTATGCTTACATAACACCACATAGTACTTCACAGCACTCTCTGGGTAATTTACAATATAAAAGCATTACTTGCATATTACTCCGACAATCTTGCTCCTCATTTTACTGACCTCAGAAGGATGGAAGGCTGAATCAACCCTTGAGCCTCGTCAGGATTACTCTACCCAATGATCCTGGATATTTCCACTCCAACTTCACCCTCCATTTTCTGGGCAAGTTGGTGCAAACAATGGTTTTGCTCCAGCTCTAGATTATCCTGGAGGAAATGAATTATCTGGATCTGTTTCAGTTCAGCTTTAGGTATATATTGGAGGGGAGTTATTTCTGACTAAGTGTTAGCTTTAGTACCTTCTAGAACTATATTCTGCATTGTTGCAGCTTCATTAGTTCTCATTAATTCACAGATGACAAACTGAACTACAGTTAAGTAAAGAATTTCTGTTTGAGGTATGTTTATAAACTAAGAATTCATGATGTATATACTTAAGTATGGTTTCCATCAGAGTTAATAAAATAAAGTTTCTCCTATAAAGTAAAATCACTAAGAAGTATTACTGAAGCTGTCTCATTTACAAAATTTTGTTTTCAGTGAAATTCACTATTTATGTATCAAACTAAGAAATGCTTTGAAATGTATTTCTTCCTAAAGGAAAATAAATAAACTGTACAGATCATAAATACGTTTTGATACATCAACTTTTTTGCTAGGGTTCTGAGGAAGCATCCCCAAACCAGGATCAATCTTTATCTGTTCAGCAAACTGCTGTTGTTAACTTGACTGGAGTAGGGAACTTTATCCAACCTCAAGCAGCAGGTACGTGTGTTGAAGAACCAGCTTTATGGAGTCTTCCCGTGCAAAAATGAGGAGACAGATAAACCTCCAAGTGGCTTCAACAACTCTCTAAAAGGATGTAAATGACCAGCTGTCTACAAGGAGTATAAATCCTTCCATTCCCCACCATCCAGCCAAACCTGAAGAAGCTTCTTGGATGAGAAGCGAAACTCCTTCAAAGAAAATCAAGGAAATCTAGTTGCACTCTAGTTGAAAAAGCACCTTTGGGACAACCATGACCTAGATGAATGCAAATCTCCATAGACAGAAATCCAATTAGTTTACATTTTGTGTAGGTATAGTTTGGATCCTCTAGGGGCATTAAATACATTATGTGGCCATAGTTTGCCACATAGTCTCTGTTTCCATTACTATGTTATTCTTCTTATAAAAAGAAATCAAACACAGATGAGCTAGGTGCTTAAACAGTAGGATTACTGTAACAGAGACAAAATAGTCTGGTTGAATTCCATATATTCCTATGGCTAGTGCACTAGATATGCCCTTTAAGAGTATTTTAATATACCTTGATATCCATAACGTTTAAAATCTAAGTAAATTATTTCAGTTAATCATTAACTGAATGATTAAATCCTGTATTATAGTTTTTAATCTTGTATTAGTTTTTAATATTGCATTATTTATTTCATTCTTTTAAAGATAAAAATGAAAATTTAAAAAATAAAACATTTTTCTTTTTTTCTTGGCAACAACTACAGTTCTTTCTCCATCAAATGGTTATGGCGGTAGCAGCATAAGCAGCTCTACTACTACATCATCTAGGTACCCAGTCAAAAAGTAAAAAGGGGGGAAAAAAACTTCACTGGTATCAAAATCCTGAAACTTGCATTTGAGAGAGATGTATGTATTCAATAATAATATTTTTAAAAATGTTTTTTAAAAAAAGAAACTGAATTTGTAGCTATACTGAGGCATAGCAATCGACTGAAATTTGTAAGAAAGCTATACTGTTTTAAAATGAAATTATTCATCTGGAAATGTTACACAAATTTCAAGATTAAATGATATTGTGAAATAATGGAACTTCATAAATGTAGTATGTTTATTAAGGTAATGGTTTCATGAACAAATAGTAAATACACCTCTTACTAATTATACATTTTTTATTATTTTATCCATTAGTTTCTGTACTTCTTTATGTCGTGCTTTTGCCCGACTGATACAGTCTTGAAGCTTTGCTTCTGATATTGTGCTTCCACCTTAAAAAGAAACAGAAAACAAGGATACAATGTATTTACTACTGTCTGAGCTTTTGAATTGCCCATTAAATTACATCCATGTTTGTAATTAACCAAATATTTTTACTAGAATTAACTTCAACAGGACATTCTCATGATTGAAAAATTCTTTTTGTGACCCTGTAATCCCTTAATTAGGTGTAGATGCCATCCAGGGGTATCTACACCTAATTAATACTACTCCTGGATGGCATCTACAAAATTAAAACTAAATTAGAACATTGGAAAATATGAATTCTTAATAATTTAGTATTAATACCTGGTTTATGAACAGAACACAGTTTGTTGTCTTCGATAGTCACAATAGTTAAAGTCCCAGATGCCAAGTCTTCTTCTTCTGCAGTTGGGTCAACTACCACTAGTGTGCTGTTGAAGATATATACACATGTGCCAAAATTTAACCTTTCTGCGATTTTTTTAATCCATAACAATTATATATATTTACTGTTCAATTAGACAATAGTGCATGTAAGAAGCAACATTAAAAAGCATCATCACGTTCCTTTGTTCAATTATGTACTATTCAGACCACCTGGATTATTGCTGGCATAAGCATCAATGCTGAAGCCTTTTTCAATTTAATTCAAAGACTTCTAAAGAAATTTAGGCAATAAGGATTTCTTCAATCTGTGCCTGACTCTGAGTGAAAAATAACTAAATTGATCCTCTCAGAAAAACAGCTGGAAGTTTATCAGAGCAACTACTATCTTATCCATACTCACTATTCGACATAGACCCATTTTCATGTATATAAATTTTTTCTGTTCAGAGAGATTTCATTTTAAGTGCATGCATATAGTGTTTTTTATTTCTTCCTCTCCATTTCCATCATTTATAAATGCTATAATGACATTCAGAGAACTTTCCTGAATTGAATACAAGATAAGAAGACCAGAAGACAAGCTCAGGATCCAAATGGATCTTGACAGACTTCAACAATGGGTTCTATCCAATAAAGTGAAATTTAATGTGGTGAAAAGCAAGGTTTTACACTTAGGAAGGAGAAAACAAGGGATGAAAACTAATAAAGGACAGAAGCAACCTGGAATTAAGGAGAAACTTTCCAACAATGAGAACAATTAACCAGTGGAACAACTTGCTTTCAAAATTTGTGGGTACTTCATCACTGAAAGTCTTTTAAGAAGAGATTGGGCAGCCATTTGTTTAGAATGGTATAGGGCAGTGATGGTGAACCTTTTTTGGTTCCCGTGCCAAAAGCGGGGGGAGCGCAGGGGGTCATGCTCGGGCATGCCATACACAATACTTTGCGTGCGACCCTCCCCCCATGCACGTATGCACACCCGACCAGCAACCCGTCCCACTTTTGGCGTGTTTTTTTGCCCTCCCCAGGCTTCAGAGGCTTTCTAGGAGCCTAGGAAGGGTGAAAACAGCCCCTCCGCCCCCCAATGCCCTCTGGAGGCCTCAGGAGCTTCCATGAAGGCTCCCGAGGGCGAAATACACACCTACAGACAAACCGGAAGTGGACTTCCGGTTTGCTCATAGGGTTGTTTTTTGCCCTCCGGAGCCTTCAGTGAAGCCTCCTGAAGGCTCTGGAGGGCAAAAAACGGACCTATGGACAAACCAGAAGTTCGGGAATTGTAAATTCCTGTTTGTCCGTTGGTCCGTTTTTCGCCCTCGGGAGCCTTGAGAGGCCTTCAGGAGGCCACACTAGGCATACAGCTGATGCTAGGGCATTCCTTTCAATATGTATTCCTTGTTTAGTGTCTGCTTAGTCTCTTGTAATCCCTTCCTCTCCAAAGAATGTAAATATAAAGATTAATCCCCTTCTTGCTAATTATCCTAGCACCAGGGTGCATGCTCCAAAGAGCAGGGGAGTGGGGGGGGAAAGAAAAGCTAAAACAACATTGCAAGCAGTAGTGTTTGTAGGATTTTTCACTTGGTGACCGCATCACTTGATGACTGCATTGCTGGTCCCAATTGTAGTTGCTAAATGTGGAATACCCAGATAGCAGAAACAATTTTCATGGATTTTTAAGTGAATCTCCCTCCCTCTGCTCACACCATGTTCTTTTGGAGTACTAGAGGGCTCCCAAAGAAAGAAGCAGCCAAGTATTTTTTGCTAGTACAGCTGCTCAAATCTGGGGTTATCTGGTAACGTGGTATTGTTTATTATAATCTACACATATACTCCACTTACTCAAACAACACAAATGATGTTGCCACTGGGTGCTTTTTAATAGTCAAAGGATTCTTCTCTTTCAAATTAACTTCCACCAAACCAGTTTCTGCATTTATTGCAACAACAGGCAAAAGCACTGAAATAACAAAGAATAGATATGAAAAAAGCAAGACTGGAAAATTGTTTGATACAGCACATTTTTATAAAGAAAAATAAAGGCATCCTCAAATAAACACAATATAGTGATAGAAATGTAATAAGTAGCTTTTAATTTAAAAATATTCAGAACAAGGAAATCCTTCTGTGAATTGTGTCCTTTCTAACAACAACATTTAGAGTATTTGGCCATTTGGGCAAATTGTTCAAAAAAATTGATAAGGGAAATAGCAATGACTGTAGGATATCTTTTTATCCCAGACCGATTCGTACCTCATCTAACTTCTGTAGATAAGCCAGTACATTTGTCAAACCCTGGTTGCCATTACAATTGCTGTTTTCCTCCAATCCAATTTAGTGCTAAATCTGCACTGTATTTAAAGTTTAAAGTAAATCTCAAAGTATATGAACATAACTTACCATTTTTCAGAGCTGCTAAGAAAGCACACATGCAGGCGTCGAGAATATTTCCATCATAGTCCAAGCATATAATGTCACAATATAGAACCCATACAATCTAAAGAAATAAGACCTGCTGATGTAAATACTGGAAAAGCTTTCACATGCATAAAAAATTATTTTAAAATATTTGTCTAAGTCAGCATGTTATTTCATATCACATTGTTTGAAATCTGTTATCAGTAATACAGAAATGATTCACTCATTCTAGCCGAATGACAGAAAGCGAAAAAGGGGGTCAATTTAATAATGGCCAATTTATACATGTACGTACTAGAGCATAACCACTAGAACAGCTCAATATTACCAAATCATACAGGAAGGAAGGAAGGAAGTTTTAAAAATATTGTTGTTCATTAAGACCTCAACAACTATCGTCCAATTAAAACTAAACAGTCATTTTTGGTGTGCCCAATTTGGGCACAGAATATCCTGGCACATGTTGAACAAATGTGTAATTTGCAATTGTTGCACCGATAGTTCTAGAGTTGTGTATTTTATAGATATGTTGTGCTTCCATTGTGTGCCTTACTTTACATGCTGAACAACCTCCTATGAATATAGCAATTTTGTTTTTGGATTATTTCCTCTACCCTCCATGTGTTTTCTAGCAGAGTTTCCCAAAAACTGCTTGGATATGCTTTCATCTAGCTTAAGGATAACATAATCTGTCATCAAGTCTGGGCTCGGTTTGAACTTGCATTCCAGCAGTATATAGATCAATAGCAGATTTGCTCTAGAGCAGGGGTGTCAAACTCGATTTCATTGAGGGCCACATCAGGGTTATGTTTGACCGCGGGGTGTTTGTGTGGCCAGGGAGAGTGGCCAGCTTGATGTTACTAGTGATGGGGGCGCCTTTAGTGCGCTCTGTCAGCAAAAATGGGCTCCCAATCTCCATTTTCAGCTGCAACAGCTGCAACAGCCTCCTACAACCTGCTGCCAGTGAAAATGGAGTGGGCCTCCCAAGTGCAGAGGCACTGCAAGCCAATCCTTCGCTGTTTCCAGGGCAGCCCCACAGGCCAGTTCTAAGCGCTCTGTGGGCCAGATCCGGCCCACACCCAGGGGTGTGTTTGACACCCCTGCTCTAGAGAGAACTCAGTATTTGGTATTTCATATAGCCATCTGATGCCTAATATTCTGCAAAGACTAGACATGTAAAAATGGTTAAGCTATTTTGCTTGCCTTTAATACACAGTCCACATTTCACAGACATACCAAAGAGCAATGAGCACAACAGCTCTGTAGACATTCAATTTTAATTCCTTGATGTTCCCATACAATGGAACACAATCTACAAAAGCAAAACTTACCTTTGTTATTTTGCAGTTGATTTCTAAATGGTCACTATGTGAAAGTGGATACTGTCAAGGTAATTGAAATGGGGTAGTTCCTTTCTTTGTGATTGGGCTCTGTGTATGGTACATGACATGAATTTTTTTTTTTTTTTGCTAAACGAGAAAGATAAGTGAGTTTTGTCCTATTTTACAATCTTTCTTGCCACAGTTATTAAGTGAATCACTGCAGTTACGCTAATAACATGGTTGGAAAGTGAACCTGGCTTCCCCACTGACTTTGCTTGTCATAGGGTAGAATTTTGATCACATAACCATGGGGATGCTGCAACAGTTGTAAGTGAACAATTGTCATAAGTCACTTTTTTCAGTGGTGTTGTAATTTTGAATGGACACTAAATGAATGTCAAATGCAGGGGAAATCAGGCAATTCAAATTAGTATAAAGATTTATTGCAAGCTTAAGCTCTCTACAAGAATCTCACCAACTAGCAGTCAAGGGAAATAAGCAAGCGATTCAAGGTGGGCTTTGTGACTTAAGACACATTTTACCCCTCTCTTGGGCTCAGCCTGGTCATTTCCTACAATGAATGGTTGTAAGTCGAAGACTATCTGTATTAGATTTGTGTGCCACCCATCCTGTCTAGAGACAACTCTGGGCAGCTTACAAACATTAACAACAGGTAAACATTAAAATGATTTAAAAATTAGATAGTGTTTAAAGTCACCTCAGATTGTCTTCCCATCCATTCTGTAATTAAGGCTGATTTCAGCATCATTCAACATTACAATTAACAGGCTGAACTGTGTGGTTACAAGCACACAGGCCCGTTTAAAAACAATTGGTGACTGGGAATGTCTTGAGATTCTACACCTCTACCCTTGATGGATCTGACCTATCATCTAAATGAATTTGGCAGGGCAACTGAGCTTTGACATGATCCTCTACAAGCCCTGATGTTTCACAGTATCAAAGGCTTATGTCAGGTCAACAAAGGGTTGTATAGAGTTCACAATTCTGCTTCTGACATTTCTCCTGAAGTTAGTGTGTCAATAGACTCATGATCTGTGGAAGTCATACCGTAACTCCAGATTAGCCACCAGAAGATTTAGCAGAACTCTTGCAAGGACTTTTCCTGCAATACAGAGCAGCAAAATTCTTCCGTAGTTGTTGCATACTTGCTAATTGCCCCTTTTTGTAGATGTATATAACGGATGCATCATTCCTGAGAAATGGATCCTTATTTCCATAAAGACTGGAACAACTCAGTGATTTTTTCTAAAAGTACAGGATCACCAACTTTGTATATCACTGCAGGTATGGTGTCTGCCCCTGAACCTTTGTCATGCTGCTTGCTAAGTAGAGAGCCCTAGCATCTTCAGTCACAGTTTCTGTGACTTCAACTACTATTAGTATGTCACTGGGGAATCTTGTCCATTGCCACATCATTAATAGATGGGTCAAGTTGAGGATGCCTTCAAAACGTTCAGCATGGAGATGCTCCTAGTGAGCAAATGGAGATTCTGTGTTTTGCATAGGACATAGTCCCAAAGGTGCTTTTTCAAGAGGCAACTGGATTTCCTGGTTTTTCTCTTAAGAAGTTTCGCTTCTCATCCAAGATGCTTCTTCAGCTCTGAGGACATAGTGGCTGAAAGGCAGCTGGATGATCCAGATTGCACGTAATTCTCTCTCAAAAGACAGATCTTAAGATTGCTCTCATGTATTCTAAATAGCTGGGGATTTTTTTCATGAATTGACAACAGAAACAGGATTTTGCAGCTGCTCGCATTCAGCTCAGAATTGCAGAGCCTAGCATGTTCTGAGCCATTAATGTAGCCTTTTTTAAGGACTCAAAATTCAACCTAGTCTTAATTTTTTGATCATCTTGAAATTTAATTTTCTTTTTATTACCCCTTCAAGACTGAAAAGCCTTTAGAACTTGCAAGCTTTGCAGGGTAACAAGAACTCTGAGAGAAGACAGATAGAAGAAAGTAGATGTTAGAACTTGATGTATGGAATTTAAAGATTGCTGGGAGAAAAAAGAAAATACTTTGCTTTGTAAATATTTAATTGGTTTTAATGGGCATATCTATTTTAGTACTTCTGACATATAAATAAGGAATTATTATTTCTGGTAATGTTTAATTGTAATTTTTGCAAGGTTTAATTGTTAATTGAAATTAGATTTTGATTATTATAGAGAAGAATTCACGATTAGGTTTTAAATAGAAGTGGGGATATATATTCATACTGTTAGATGTTTGTTTACCTTGTTACTTTTCCTTGTATTTCCTCTGCTTTGGCATTCAATCAGGCATTGTGCATTTTACACAGCTTATTTTGGACTATCCTACGTGCACGGTTAAAGCCATTTTCTTGGTAACAGTTCTGGTGGACATTATGAAGGTGACGTTTTTTAACAACCCTCTTATCTCCTCATCATTTTCCTTGAATTATCATGCTGCTTGGTGAGTAGAGAATCCTAGAATTTTCAGTGCAGATAAATGAATAGGATTCCTGAAAACATTTCCAGTTGTCCTCAGGACTGCCAGCAAGATGTACGATAGCAAGCTTAGTCTCTAATCCAATCCTGAAACTTGCTGGGGTTCTTCAGCCTGGCTATGTTAATTCTTTTCATAGCAATAGCAATAGCAGTAGACTTATATACCGCTTCATAGGCCTTTCAGGCCTCTCTAAGCGGTTTACATGGCCTTCTGGTCCTCTTTTGGGTCTGATATGGAGCATCATTTTGGAGATAATGAGCCTGAGATTTAGCCAATAGTCAGCAACACACATGGGTTTGGTCACTCTGATATCCTGTCTTTTTTTCTGACGATGTAGTCAGTTAAAATGCCAATGCTTAGAGTGGGAGTGCACCTAGGAGGTCCGGTTACAGGTAGTCAGACAGAAAATTATATTGCTGTTGAGGAGGTCATGTGCTGCAATGGACTTCAGTAGGAGTAGAACATTAATGTTAAAGTTGCCTACTCTATATCTCCCAATGACTCTGTGCCAGGCTGCAGAATCACATCCTATTCTTGTGTTAAAGTTGCCGAGCAATATCAGCTTGTTGATTCTGCTCACTGCTGATAGCAGGATATCTAATTCTTCATAGTATCCATCTTTCATCTAATCGGAATTGGTCATTGTGGGGGCATAGGCACTGATCAGGGTGACTTGACTTTTATTCTGTAGCAGAAGTTGCAGTGTCATGGGCCAGTTGTTCACACCCTTGGAGAGAATAATAAGTTTCCAATCAAGATGTCTCTTTAAGGTAAGTCCAATTCCAGCATTGCAACTATAATCACAGTCACAACTGTCCCAGAAAAAAACTGTATCTACCACCAATTTCAGTCAGTTGATCTTTATTGGCAAAACAAATTTCACTCAGGCTTCCAATGTCAATGTTGTATCTTTCTTTGGCAATTAAAGCTGTTCTTCTCTCTGGTGTGTCTGCCATCAAGTTGTTCAGAAGTGTGTACATGCTCCAAGTACCAATGATAAGCAGCATCACTTGCATTTTGTGTGTGTTTGACTGCCAAAGTGGGATCCTGCAGCCCTGGTAAACTGGCCAGGATGTAGTCAATGTTTTAGGGTACCTTTTCTAGCCCCTTCCTCATACTGCAGAGATGAGGAATACATTCCTAGAGAGGGCTGCTCAGTCCCCTGGAGAGATGCTGTGTTCAAAAACTGGCCATTAAACTTGAGTCTCCTGTGTGCAGATCTATGATCACAGCTCCTAGTGTATCCACATCTACTGCTCTGTCATTCACCCATTGTCACCCATGTACTTTATAAAGAGTGATGACAATAATGGTGTTCAGACTAGCACATAATATGGATTAAAATGAGGGAGAGGCATGCAGTGTCTGTTCATTCTCTCTTTCCAATTCCCATCTATGTCCAGTGGCAAGATACAGTCAAAACAACTGGAAATGGGACTAGACGTAGCAGGTGACCAGAATATATTCTGTGCCTTGTCCTGTTCTTCATGTTCCACAATACTTTCAGAGACCATGAGAATTAGTCCTACCAGTGTTCTCATCAGCTCAATCTGGAGTTTGTCTTCATATGCTGGAATAGGCAGCTGTCTGTCTCACCAAGGGCTTAAGACACATTAGCTCCCCTCATCAGGTTTAGCCAGTTTATCAAAGCTGTTGCCAGTGTTCAAAACAGGAAATTAGCCAAAGAAGCGATTGGCCCAATGGACTAAGATGGATGCTCAAGAAGTAAGAAAACAAATTGTTGCCCTCAATGCAGGAAAGATACTGACTACATCAGGAAGCAAAGCAGAGCAGCAGCAGTGAAATAATGAGAAGTTATTCTAGGATATTTTAAGGAGCTACACAATGCCAAACCATCGCAATGCCCTTATCCAGCTATTGCACATTTACATCTGTATTAATGTGTATGATTCTATTTACCACATTTGAAATGTGCTCAACAAAACATATTCAGTGCAAGCAAAGTGTTAACTGCAGTCCAGCTTCAACCTTGTTTAGAAGCAAAGGTTGCTTCAAAGCGTGCAGGATAAAATAAAATCATATTTCATATCTCGTTGGAATTTTTAGTTTAGGAGCATCTCAGCTTCTTACAATGCTTAGAATAAAATGTTTACTCACCTTTCCATCTAAAATGCATAGATCTTCTTTCGTTATCATCTGTGAACTGAAATAATGGCATAATGAAGAGGACATTCCATTTATCCCCAATTCTGCTTCTTTCTTTCTTTCTTTCTTTCTTTCTTTCTTTCTTTCTTTCTTTATTTATTTATTTATTTATTTATTTATTTATTTATTTATTGAATTTATACTGCTGCCTCTTCACCCATGGTGACTTAAGGTGGCTTACAGAATATAAAACCACATTTCAAACAATAAAAACTAACAAAAAGAATCAAATAAATATAGTGCAATATATATAGTGCAATATATCAAAATCACCCCTTGCAACAGCAGATCACACAAGCCATTTAATGGCCTCCATCCCACTCTGGGTTCCCCAGGCCCACTGGCAGAACCAGCATCTTCAGCACCTTCTCTAAGAGTATCAGAGAGGAGGCTTCCCTGAAGGCTCCAGAGGGCAAACTGGAAGTCTGTTCCTAAAATTCCGGTTTACCCATAGGGCCGCTTTTTGCGCTCCAGAGGCTTCAAGGCATTAGCAAAAATATTACATCCTTTACTGAAAAGGCGATGAAACAATGGAGAACTAAGTTGACAGTAGGGAATGAGAACTAAGGAATGGTTAATATCAAGCGAGGAATTTTCCAGGG